GCAAATCGAAGGCAACACCTCTGGATGACTGATTCACATTTAGCAATGAGTCAGGAGACATATATGGAGATTCAGGGTTACAGAGAGCCCAGAGTAAGCCAAGAGGGACCATGAGCTCCACTGGAAGAGGAGATCCCTGGAGTTAGTGGAGGCCTATATGTGTCAGAAGACACTGGGGCTAGGAGACACATGGATTGGGTTTATGACAGAATCTTTGTACTGTGGGGCAGCCACCAGAGAAGACTGCTCAGACATGGGGTTAAGCCAAGAGAAAGTCTGTATTAGCGGGCAGGCAGAGTATGTGCCGGGCGGTCCCTATCTCAGTGGATCACTGAGCCTTTCTCAAGGTGAACTTTTAATTAAGCACCATATTCTCAGTTGACATGGTCCAGTTAACAAGAACAGTGGGCCCCAAGAAGAAAACAAAAGCCAAGGGGCAAGGGCAATACATTGGCCACAACTGTGGACTTGGATGGATTAGGACTTTTTTATTTTGGAACCCAGTAGCGTTAATGGAATGAGTTCTATGGCCTGAATGGTATTTCCATCCTGCGGTCAGTGGTGCCAATATCTGGGGGTTTACTATGGTCTCAGGCCTATCACACTTGTCCCAGTGATCCACGATTCTGATCATATCAGACAGCAAGGCAAGGGAATTACTATTCCTAAAGAGAGACTGGGAGGTAGGTGCAGCTACTCTTCAGCAAGATAGGATCTTTGTCTGATAAAGGGCTCACTACCATCACCTGGGCACCTCTCAAGTATGCTTGTCTCTTCCATGTACAGAGGAACAACCGTTGGATGTTGAAACCCATTGTGCACTGTGTGTCCTCTCTAGAGAGAGGACATTGAAGCACATTTGGACCTTTACAAGGACCGAGGGTGGAGAGGTCCCCAGATCCCTTTGTGACTCTCTGGTATCTCCTTTGCCATGCATAGGTGAAATGCAAGGCCTGTGGGACCTTTGGTCACACCTCGAGGAGCAGCAGGTGCCCCACCAAGTGCGGCTATGGCCTCCTAGTGCCACAGCCTCTGAAAACCAGCAAGGAGAAAGAAAACCAGGATCCTCGCAGGCTCTTGGGTCTCCCAACACCAGGAACCATAAACCAGACTGAGAGAGACAAGAAACAGAAACAAGTCTCCGGACAGAGGTGAGTGATGGCCAAGGGCCAGGGTACATATGGAAGGGACTGGCAAGAGAGAAGGTGACAGCAAAGCTCATGGGGAAGCCATACCTCCTCTTCTGCCCCCAAACATCTGAAAGGGGGCCAGAGAACTAGAAAGTAGTCTCCCCTTCTGAGACAAAAGCTGACGTGTTCCCACACCATTGTGTGCCCCACACAGTTCCAATGAGCAGCAGAGGAAGGCACCCTCTAAGGAATTTCCCATGGATAGTCCAAGGATGAACCAAGACTTCAACTTGGCGGTGAGTAAAAGACCTGATCCTGTCGAGGGAATTCTGTCTTCCTGGTCCTTGAAACATCATCCCTTTGCCTGCCATGGCGGGTCTTTGCTCGGCTCATATCCACTGTGCCCGTCAGATATCATAAACCTCTCTGGTGTGGCAGCATTGTTTTCCTGGGTCACTTCCGGAATTCAGACGGACTTGGGTTTTGACGTGGGAGACACTGCTGTGTGGTTCTCCTCCTTGTAGACCAGTTGTCCTAGAGGACAAGCAGCTTGTCCTTGTCTTCCTCACTTGTCCTTGAGCATGACCTTGGAGCTCAGCCTCCAGATCCTCCTCCTTTCTGAGCTCTGTATTACAAACATAGCCTGCCCCGTTAGCTTTCTGGCCCCCTTCCCCTCTGTCCACTGATTCTGCTCTTGCCATTAGGGCTCGACTTCCTGCTGCTGCTTCTAGAACCCAGACTTTGACTGGAGAACTCTTACTGGAGCCTACTGTTTGGACGCTAGAAACAGAAACACAATACACAAACAGACAGACACAAAAATGAGCTCATTTCTTTATACCTCCAACTGGGTCTAGAGTGTGTCTGGGAGTGACTCGTTTCCCAGTCAGGGAACCAAATGTTGAACTCTAGTGTCCAAACCGAGAAGGAGTCGCCCCCAGAGACCATTTCATATACCACAGCCGATGCAAAAGCATGAGGATTTTATTAATTCTGTCATGACAGGGTCCCCCAGCATTCGGGAAGCCGAGAGACCTCGAATAGCTGGTACAGTCTACTTTCAAAGGAGAAGGCCCCATAGAAACAAGAGGGGTTGTTCCTTGACCATTATGATTGGCTTATTCGAAAAGGGGTAATACCAATAGTTGGCTGGAGAGCTATTGTCAGAGCAGATGAGATAAGAGGTCATTTTGACTCTGTTTCCCAGGGGACTGAGTCAAAACATACGTGTATGGGTAATTGTTCAGGAACTGAGTACGTGCATGTGTAGCTGTTAGGTCCTTGGTTCCCAGGGGAGGAGGGGAAGCACTAAGGCACAGAGGCTGAGAGGGTTTGGAATTGTCAGAAATGGCTTCAGAATTGTCTAAAGTCTTACACTACATATCCCAACCTCTTCCTTCCCAATCTGTTGGCTACAGAGTTGACCCAAAAGACCATGCTGAGAGTCGGGGTCAAGGCAGGGCATCTAAGAATACCTACAAACAAGAGCTTCTCTGCTCTCATCCAGACCTTTTTGGTTTTTTCCAGAAGCCTTCGGCTGCCCATATTTCAGGCCAACCCCTGAGGATGCAATTCACCAGAATCTTTGGTGACTGCTGGATTTCCAGGTTCATCACAGTGGCCCCAGGACTTGGCATTGGAAGGGAAACACCTCCTTCTGCGTGTCCTGCCTCTCAGGAGAATGGCGAACGAACACGCTCCCAGATCCCATGGACTGTCCTCTATGAGGACCTTCAGGTCTCCTCGTCTTCAGAGGACAGTGATGGGGACTGAGTTGTCACCTGGAGAGATGTCACCTCTCTGTTCAGACTGGCCAGATGCCTCTGGGTTGTCACACAATGGCCTCTTCGGGAGTGAAAGGAATCCAAGTGGAAATGGATGTTCCTCTCCAGAATGAACTACGGAGATGACTGTAATAGCTCATGTTCACCTCAAAAGTGGCAACAAAACTGAGAACTCCTCCCTCCCATGCCTCGACTCACATCTCCATGCCCACAGCCTCAGCTCAGTGTGTACTCTGAACTATGAAGTGTGCCCCTGAGACATATTCTAAGGAGGTCACCTCTCTTCTCCTCGTCAATATCAGTGGCTTCTAGGAGACACTTTCCATAACCTCAATGCCCCTACATATCTTCTAATTGTCATGTTTTGATATTATAAAGTTTTATCATTAAAATTGTCATAGAAATTATGGATATTCCAGGGTTTTCCTGTGCCCAGAACATGGGGTTTTTTTCAAATACCTATTGTTCAATAAAAAAATAATCCACAGATGCAAGTGACATTCAAACCTACCACATCGGGTGTGCCACACAGACACTGTGCACACACACAGTCACCTTATGATCACAAGACCATTGAGAGGTAAGACAATCTGTAGGCCTTGTCATCTTAGCTATTCCTGTGTTGCTGAAGTGTTTGGCCTGATTGTCATCCTGATATATAGGGACAACTACCATAAGGTACGGAACTCTGGGCACCGAAGCTCGGAGTTTCCGGAGGGCTGTGAATTTACAGTTACACTAGAATTGACTAACTCACGAAATGAGATGTTCTCTGTCTTTGTCTCTGTCTCTCCCTATATATCTCTAAAACGCAAACACATACAAACATAAACACACACACACACACACACACACACACACACACACTTGTACACATGCACACAATTTCCACCCTGGCTTTTGGCTTACAGCCATTCATGTCAATACCCACTGCCCTTTGGTAACTTGCATACTTAAGACACAGTCTCACACTGACTGGATGCTCTAACAGCTTGGATCTTTTTGCTGGCTAGCAGGATCAGGGATGTGTGTGTCTTGAGCCTACTAGATTGAAAGAGGGCTAACTGTTGTATAGGGTTTTTTCCCCCAACCAACATAAGCTCAGGTAACTGTGTTGGGGCATCCCCTGCTGCATCCTCCTCTGTCCTATCATAACCTCTGCTCCCTGGGTGCTACCGTGCTCTACGGGCTGCTGGGCTCTCAGGTGAGGTCATTTCCTCGCTATCAACTCTTTCTGACTTCTCCAACAGCTCTCTTTTGCTTCGTGCTCCATTCCTGACTTCACTTGCTCGAGCAAGGGTCCTCCCGGGATCTTAATTGGTATGGGTTTGATGTCCTTGAGCCACGAGTCAGCAACTGTGTGCCTGTTGTCCCTGTTCTATAAACTCCACGTCTGCAAACTCGACATCTGCAAAGACAAGATGGCTGGAGACGGCCTTGATGGACAGGTACTTCCTGATTCTAACTCTCCCTAAGGACACACATTATACACCCTCTGAGTTGAGGTCAGTCCTCTGCTCAGAACACTTTCTTCAGCACCTTGAAGGGAAAGCCTCGTGTTCTGCAGCTCAAAGCAGCCCAGGCAGAACCCAACCTCAAGGTCACATTTGGCCTCAATTGATCTCACCTGAGACAAATCCACAAACGTAACATTTCCTTCTTGCTATCTGTCTACACTTGCATTGCAACTCATTGCCATGGAGGATGGGGGATTTTTGAAAAAATTATGTCAATCTACAAGTCATAGTCAATTCCAGGCTACCCTGGCCTAGGTTTTGAGACCTGACTCGATGGTAAACACTAATCACTAGCTGATGATAATCACTACCAATCCCCCCCTTACCGCCCCTCATCACTACCATACCCTCAACAAAGGAAACAACACAAATTAATCAAGCAAAGAGATTCAGTCACAAAACTGAAACCAACCTGATCCAAACCAAGCAAAACGAAAAGAAAAAAGAGAAACCACGCTAAAAGTGAAACAAACAAAAACCACAGTAAAAGAAAAATCTCTATCCACACAAAGAATGTAGTATGAATGACGAGCCTCTGACTTTCCTGCTATGGCCTGCAAATACGTGTCTGTCGAAGACACAGCCACCCAAAGGCATTTATTGTGTTGGACCTCAACATCACATCACGTTTCAATGTGTTTGCATGCTTCCCGGCAGATGATCTTAAGCACTGGCAGAAAACTCTTGCTGGGTCTGCAGTGGAATTTGCTCTTTGAAACTCTGTCCATGGTTCTGGAGCTTCACACGAGCACTAAGAAAATCACGGAGGCTTCCAGGCCAGTTTAGAGCAGGTGATTTTCAATCAAGGTAGAGATCAAAGGGCGGGTGAGTCTCACTCCTCAAGGCTGGCCTTTCCTACATAGATGACGTCACAGATCTTGTGAGCAGCCTGGCAGGAGAGTTCTCAGCCAGTCTCCTGAAAGCAGCCTCCTGTCTGGTGTGAGGGTCCAGGTTGCACTGCTGGCAGAACCCGCTGCGTAGACCTGGAGGAGACAGCTAGCTCTCAGCTGGCAGTATTATCACATGACTGACTCACACTTAGCCATGAGTCAGGAGGCACACATGCATTTGGGAGCTTCAGGACCACTGCAGCCCAGAGAGCCCAGCGGGAAGCTAAGAAGTGAAGACGGCCCATGTCTAAGAACGTTCCACCACCATAAGATGAGAACTCTAGGGTAAGTGGAGGCCTATACTTGTGTGTCCAGGGGTGTATACCAAGAGGCTGTCCCAGAACTATGAACTTGGAAGGATTAGGTCTTTTTTCATTTGGACACCCGAGAGCATTAAGGGCCTTAGTTCTATGGCCTGTCTGGTACTTCCAATCTGCATTCAGTTTTGCTGATATCTTTTTGTCTAGAATGGTCCACGGCCCTGTTACACTTGTCTCTTTGATCAAATACACTTGTCACTTACGGGTTCAAAATTCAACTGTCTGTTGTTTAAACTCAATCTATGGTTTGTGCCCTCTCTGGAGAGAGAAGATTGAAGGGCATTGGGACCTTGCCTGGGACTGAGCATGGAGTGGTGCCCGCATCCCTTTGTGGTTCTCTAACCAGTCCTTTGCCATTCCCAGCTGAAATGCAGAGACTGTGGGACCTTTGGTCACACCTCGAGGAACAGCAGGTGCCCCACCAAGTGCGGCTATGGCCTCCTCGTGCCACAGCCTCTGAAAACCAGCAAGGAGAAAGAAAACCAGGATCCTCGCAGGCCCTTGGGTTTCCCAACACCAGGAACCATAAACCAGGCTGAGAGAGAAACGAAAACAAGTCACCGGACAGAGGTGAGCGATGGCCAAGGGCCAGGGTACGTATGGAAGGGGCTGGCAAGAGAGAAGGTGACAGCAGAGCTCACGGGGAAGCCATACCTCATCTTTTGTCCCCAAACACTCCATTGAGTTCCTCCATGAATTTCTTCAAGTCTCCTCGTCTTCATCAGACAGTGATGGTGGAGGCTAAGCCGTCACCTGGAAGGAAGATCCACCTCCCTTTTCAGACTTCCCAGAGGCTTCTGGATTAGCACAGAATGAGCATGAATCTTTGTGATTCAAACCCAAGTTATCTTTAAATAAGCTCTGACAGTTCCCCTGACACTGCCTGCCTCTCACTGAAACAGAATGTTCCAAACAAGATTGACAGCAGTCCTGGTGCTCCCATAGGCCATGCTAGGGGAATCCCTTTGCTAGGGGAATCCAGAAGGTGCATTCACTTCTTGGCTCACTGGTCTCTTTTGTGACCCAACCTACTTGGACTCTGATGTGAGACCATTCACCACCCCACACCTCAACTTCAACTCTGCTTTCCTCTATGAGTCCAGAACTGTGCAACCCGATAGATTCTCCAGCCTGGATTTTGCAATATACCTGACCTTGTCAGCATCCACTGCAGAGCCCAGGCCATGGATGGCATTAGTGAAGGCATCAAACTGTGGTGTTTCCCTCCCCAGCCCCCGCTTTCTCTCTCACTCGCTCTCCTCCCTCCCTCCCTCCTTCTTTTTTCCTTCCCCATTTGTCTGTGTTGCCATGAGAGTTTCTGTGTTGCAATCATGTGACAATAAAGGCACCTTGAGCTTTACATCAGCACGTGCAAGCCCTTGGTAAATGTTACTTTCTGCCTGTATTTTTTTCCTGTGAATTGTGTGCTTGGGAAGGTTGTCTCACACTGATGGGACAGTTTGGTCAGCCTAGCTGGCTAGCACACTCCAAGGACCTGGCCTTACCTAGTACTGTATTGGTTTCTATGACATACCCACTGGTGTCTGTGTGCCGTTGTCCCAGTTCAGAGTAGTGACATGCTTGCACAGGCTAGACATCTGGAAAGGACCCTGGTGAACATAGTCAGCCTGCTTCTAAATGTCCTAAAGTCAACTTCTTAAAAACACGGGCTGTTGGTTCGTGTCACTCTTTTCAGCTCCTGAGAGGTAAAGGCATTGTGCTCTGCAATTCAAAGCCAGCCTAGGCCGACATAAGTTCGAGTTCAGTGTGGACCACAAGAGTTCTTGTTTCAGAAACAAACACAATAGTAGCATTTGCCTGGTATGGTGTATCTAAACATTAACTTTATCTCTTTGCAGAGGGAGGCAGGAGAATTGCTAAAGAAATCATGCCAGTCTGAACTACAAAGTGCATTCCAGGCAACCCTGGCCTAGGACTGAGACCTCCTTTATGGTAAACATAATCCTCGCAGTATTCTTTTCTGTTTAATGTTCATTTTGTAATTTTAAACATTTGTCATGAATTTACATTGTTTCCAACATTTCTTTATGGAGAAAAAACACAAACTTAGGAAATTACTATGTTTTAAGAGGGGCTCTCGAGATAAGTCCGTCCTCTGGTTGGATGGTGTAAAAGTCCATTTGCACCAATCATGCAGGCATGGAGCCTTGCACACCCAGAGGTTGATATAAGTCATGGGTGAGCACCTGAGACTCTTCAGTGCTGCTTCTAGAACCCCACCCCATGGCTGTGAGCTCCTTTCCTGGGCCGGCCTCCCTCTCCAAGAGTATGGAGGGCTTGCCTCAACCACAGCCTGGATGCCCTGCCTCAGGCTCCTACATAACAAGGCCAACTGCGGTTCAAGGCTCAGCTTCTCAGTCCCGGGAATGTGAGGAGTCTGCAAAACACTGCGGTGAATACAGAGCAGAAAGGAAGCATCACACACATTGCCCACTGCAGCCCGAGGAAAGGGCGAGGAGACTGCTATCCGGGCAGCCATGGGCAGACTGTGGCCTTGTTTGCTTTACTTCACAGACAAGGTGTATCTCATCATTGATTAGACCTCCCTTCTGCTTAAGATCATTGAAATCCCAAACCCAGGGAATAAGGGCAACAGAGGGCAGGGTTGCCTTAGGCCAGAGTGAGGGGAGGACTAAAGTTCTCCAACCATTCTTGCTATCTTTTAGCCCCATGAGGTCTTAAAGGCCTCACTATGAGCACCCATGCACTCACTAGGAACTAGTGAGTCTAGTGTAACCTGTTCCCCAACTGGTCAGCACCCCTATTAATCTCCTGGCTATACATCACCTGGTCAATAACTCTCTAGGTTTGACCCGTGTATCTGTACATAATTCAAACAAGTCAACCACATCCTCCACGAGGACCCAGGTACACCACACTCTCTTGTTCCTAAAAGCATGAACCTCACAGCCATGCTTGTTCACTGTGGTCCACCGAGTTAGCTGTGTGCTTCTACCCTGGGCTGTGAAGACATTTGACTGCTTGATCTTATTCTGGTGTGGGGATGCGGGGCTCCACCATCTCACACTGTGTAAGACAGGGATCTCTTTCTCAGTAGTGGGGTTACTAGAGAGTGATCAGGATAGAGGGCTGCTTGAACCACAAAGCATCTGAGAAGCCGGCTTACAGCAAGTTGTGTGCAGATGGACAGCCGCAGAGGCCAGCAGCCTTGCCTGTGCCCGGTAGGCACGGCTGTACTTCTGGGCAATGCGATAAGTTTAACCCTGAAAATCTGAGTGAAGGAACAAAGGGCATCGTCTGGAGGTCAAAGGGAGAAGAAATATTTGAGAAACACCCTCCTGCTGTTTCACTCCTGCTCCCAGCACCAAACGATCTCACAGAATGTCAAAACTCAAGTGACTGCTGTGAAATTAGGCTGATAGGAGACGTGAATGACTGAAACTCAAACTGTGCACTAGAGAGCCCTGTTCCTTCTCACTTGTCGCATACAAAGAGTCCTCACTGGTGTTACTGAGAGGGGTTCTCCCTTTCCGAATCTCCACTGAAGATCCTGCATACACCGGGACTGCGTACTTCCTCATCCTGACTGAGGAGCAGCTTAAAGTAGGACAACTTCGTTGGGGCTCACAATCTGAGGGCAGGGTGGGGAGAGGCTTCCATCATGGCCGGGGAAGTCTGATGGCTGGAGCCTGGAACAGTTGGTCACTTTGGATCTGTAACCTTCGGAGAATGAATAGGAAGTGGAGCGGGACTCTAAAACCTTAAGGCCCACCCTGGTGACCCAGTTCCCTGTACTGTTCCACTGTAGGAAGGTTCCCCAGCCTTCCAAAACAGCCCCGAGGCTCTGTGGATGATCGGTCCAACACATCCGATGTGGGGGGAGTGCATTTCCTGCTCAAACCACACCGGAATCCGAAGCTCACGAGCTAAAGGAACACAGATTTCCCAGTTCAGGCCCTGATGGGTCAGTGTCTGTGCACACACCACACACACCCTCCTGGATGCCAAAGGAAAGAGTAACAAGTGAAGACTGCATCGTTCGCTTCCCCTGGGGTATCCCAGAGGGCACAGAGGAGAAGACTGCCCCATGTAGTACCCTGACAGTAGAAAATGCCACAAAGACATGAAATACATGATTCCGTCAAACCAGAGGGAAAGTCACAGCCACTGTCCCTCTCCTCACACTAGAACAGATGGGAACAACACAAAATATTTGCGGTGAATACTGTTATAAACTCGTCACACAAGAGAAAGAGGCCATGCAACAGGGCTCACGTGGAGGGTCTTTTTCACTCGGGGAAGGGAACGGGAAAAGGGAGGAGGGAAAGGGAAGACAAGCCTCTGGTGACAGGAATGGCAGAAGAGGAGAGAGACAGAGAGTCAGACAGAAGCAGAGAAAGAGAGAGGGGAGGTGGGCAAGGCTCACCTTTTAAAGGGGAACGTAGTAAATGTGCACACGTGGTGTACTTAGTGGCAGCAGCTGAGGACACACCATGTCAGGACCCTAAGGGCAGGCCAGTACAGATGCCTGAATACTAATAAATACCATTCTCCTGGTCACAAGCCAGGTCAGTTCATCTCTTGTGCTGCAGCAGCTGATTCTCTGGCCCAAGGAATCAGAATCTCTGGGGCTGTGATTCTGCACTGCAAGGAAACCTGTGTGTAGTTGTATATGCAAGAGCCCAATTATTAAATGTTGTTCATGGCCTGGGGCACGGTGTCTCTTCACAGCAGTAGAACCACCAATTGGGACAGGGCTGCGTGAGTTCTAGCTGGTATTAATAAAAACCCAGAGTCAGCTATTAGGGGAATCAGAGAAGCAGAGCAGCCAGCCACGAGTTCTTACCTCTACTGAATCCTCAGACCAAAGGGGCGATCCTGTCCCATTTAATCCTCAGACTCAACGCTGTCTCTACAAAACCTCAGACTGTATCTGAGCTCGCCTCCTTCTGCCTTATATTCCTTTCTCTGCCCAGTCTTATCGCTCCTGTCTCCACTTCCCTAGTGCTGGGATTAAAGGCAGGGGATCCCAAGTGCTGGGATCACCTTTGTGTGAGTTCTCTTTTAGACATATTCAGTCTCGTGTAGCCCAGGGTGGCTTTCAACTCACAGAGCTCCATCTACCTCTGTCTTCCAAGTGCTGGGATTAAAGGTGTGTGCCACCACTGCCTGGCCTCTACGGCTAACTAGTGGCTTAGCTCTGCATTCTGAGCTTCACGGAAGCTTTATTTGTTAGATCACAAACAAAATACCACTACAGGACAGTCACTCTGTTTATCAAAGCAACAGAAACCCAATTAAGACAATATCCAAAGTGATGAATAAGTTAAAATAGCTTTAAAATGTGGTTTTCCTTTGCTGCAGTGTTTTGGGTTTGTGTGTGTGTGTGCGTGTGCGTGTGCGTGTGTGTGTCAGAAACAATAAACTTGTTCCCAGAACATGCTTAGTTGAGGACTCCAACATTTACATTTTCTCAGGATTCATATCAATATATTGCCCCCGAGTCAAGGGCTCACTTGAAGGACAGACAGCCTGAATGTCAGCTCAGGTTAAACAAGGAAAGCTGTAGAATCTTTGCCTGGGTCTTATCAAAACCACTCACCCTGGTCAGTGACCAGAGTCTGCTAGGGAGTCCACGCAGTGTGCTGAAGGTGACCCCCAAATCACTCAGCACCCCCTTCAGGCACTGACATATATAACATTATCTTTTACACCTAATCCATATTTCTCCAGAGGGTAAATAAATTTTATTCTATGGTTCATGTTATTATTTTACTTTAGTGGCAAGGAAACTCAAAGTCAAACTGTAACCAGGTTGTAGGAACTACTAGGGGCTGTGACAGCTAGTCTCCACGGAAGAGGGGGGAGTACACACAGCCCTTCCCAGCACTCCACAATGGAGTAGAAGCAAGTGTGTTAATATACACAAACAAAAAGGTCACAGCATCTGCACTCTAATGGCTTCCTGGGGTTTTCCTACTGACATCGCTTCCTAATATTTTTCCTTTAATTTTATATATTTATATATATATATATATAATAAGTATATATTTTATATATATATAAAAGCAAGGAATCTAAAGATTCTGATTTCATTACAGAACAAGATTTAGAGAAGGAAGGAAGGATGACGGGAGCTCCTTCAGCCAATATTTGGTAAGTCATCAGGTACATTAAGGTAAAGATGACTGCGACATTCTAGAGACATACAGGCCTCTCTACGACTCCCCAGAATTCAAGAACAACTGCTGATGTACCCAGAGCTCTAGCTCCCATCTGGCACCTGCACAGCATCTTGGTGTCCATGGTTCTCCACAGGCTCCCCCTGTCAGCAGCCCCGGACACCTTCACGTGTGTGTGTGTGTGTGTGTGTGTGTGTGTGCACATATAGTAGGGTGGGGTGACTAGGCTCAATCAGGTCTTGAATGCCCACAAATTGTGAAGTCAGCTATGGGCTCTCCTCAGGATGGAAGATACATCCTTGTTGTCACTTGTATCTAAAAATGTGCCCCTAAAAGCCCATGTATTAAAGGCTGAATTATCATATAATGAGGACTCTAACTTCACCAACGTAATTGGAAAAAATTTCACATATTTGAAAATTGAACTAAAGATTTGTAAATAGCAAATGTAAAAGTAGAAAAAAATGAAATTACAATGGATGTCAGGAAAGATATTTCTTTTTAGATCCACCCTCTCTTTGTAGCCAGAACTACCTTTGAGCTTACTTGGTGGTTCAAACAGGCCTTCAACTTCTGATCCCCCTACTTAGCCTCCCAAGGGATGGTATCATCGGCATGTCTACCTCATAACACAGTTTAATTGAATGATGCTTAAAATCTTAAAATGCAGGGACGTAAAAAAGGAAATTGTCTTAAGCAGAGAAATAAATTAAGCCT